CAAAAAAGCTTTATTGAATATGCAGCGTGTGAAGAGTGGACTAGTGAAGTTCATTCTAACCTTCTAATTAAAGCTAGACCTAAATAACTGTTGAGATCAAGGCTATGACAATGGGTTTAATATGGTTGCAACCCAAAAAAGTGTTTAAGCTTGAACTTTAACAGAATACCCACAAGCATCATTTTCACCCTGTGGTTGCCACATTATAAAGATAGTTATATCGAATGGAGCTAAATCATTGATAGTCTATATTGCTGTTTGGAGTTATTCAAAAAACCTATAAAAATTTTTCTACATCAATCAAGCAACCATATAATGGTCACATCTTCAGCACAAAAGAATCTTTCAAAAATGATGTTTTCTTGCCCCTAATTGACACAATTGAATCATCGTTGAAAGACAGAATGGACAATTTCTCCAAAAACAAGTCAAAAAGAGTCAATCCTATTTGACCCAAAAAAACTACCAACAAACAAAACAAACTTAAAGAGGATTATAAAATGTTACAAAAACACCTGACTGTGAAAAACATTTCAGATATAAATTGGGAAGAACTGTAGAATGAAAATTCTATGCATCATATATATATATATATATATATATATATATATATATATATATATATATATATATATATATATATATATATATATATATATATATATATATATATATATATATATATATATATACACAACCCTCAGAAATTGGAAAAATGAGGTCAGTAATAATTTGCCGACCTCAATCTTTTTGAGGTCGGCAAAAATTATTTGATACAAAGGTCAGACCATAAAACATAGAAATGAGGTTGGCAATTTTTTGCCCACCTCACTTTCAGGTCGGCAGTTAGGTTGGCATTGCCGAATGCTGACCCTAATTCCGAGGGTCAGCATATATATATATATATATATATATATATATATATATATATATATATATATATATATATATATATATATATATATATATATATATATATATATATATATATATATATATATATATATATATATTAATGAATGGCAACCCTCTCACTGAGTCCTCTTCTTTACATCTTCTTGGATTATCATTTACTACTGACCTTTCATAGAAACCATATATACAATCAATTAGCATCTAAATTAGCATCTGCTAAGGTTGTTTCTCTTTATCATGCTCGCCATTTTCTCTCTCCTGATTCTAATTCCTACCTCTACAAATCTCTTATTCATCCCTGTATGGAATACTGTTGTCATATTTGGGCTGGTTCTTCTAATGATACTGTTTCTGTTCTAGACAAGATCCAAAAACGCATTGTAAACGTAGTTGGACCTGATCTATCTGCCAAGCTTGAGCCTCTTTCCCATTATCGTAAAGTTGCATCTCTTTCTCTTTTCTTCAAATACTATCATGGTCGCTGCTCAAAGAAGCTATCATCTCAAGTTCCATCAACTAAAACTCATTCTCACTTGACTCGTCATTCATCAAAGTCTCATTCTTTTACTGTATCTGTCCATGCATGCTCCAAAAACTTTTATTTATCTAGTTTTTTTCCTACACTTCAACGCTTTGGAACTCTCTCAAATCTTCATGTTTTCCTGACTCATACAACCTTCAACTTTTTAAGTCTTCTGTTAACCGTTTCTTTGCTCTATAACTCTATTCTTTTTTTTCTAGTAACTCCCCACTTAATTGTGAATGCTTGCAGCCTTGTTGGCAGTGAATCAGAATAAAATAAATAAAAAGTAAAATATATATATAAAATATAATATATATATATAATATAATATATATATATATATATATATATATATATATATATATATATATATATATATATATATATATATATATATATATATTAGTTATATTATGCCTAATTAACTATATATATATATATATATATATATATATATATATATATATATATATATATATATATATATATATATATATATATATATATATATATATATATATATATATACAGTTAATTAGGCATACAACATAAATTAATACCCTTATGACTAAAATGATTGAGTTATCAGATTTTTAACGATTAAATATCATTTAAAGTTTGATTTTGTTTACAAAACATAAAAAAAGTATTGTTATTATCATCACGAGGAAAATAAATCTGGAACTAGAAAAAAATATTTTGAAAAGGCTTAAATCCGGACAATCTTATCATGAAATTGCTGCTGAGTACGGAAAGCCTCATAATCTCATATATATTTGCGCAATAATTTAGAAGTAAATAAGCCTAAAAGTGGTCAAAAGAAAATTTTTACACCAATAGACCAAAGAACAATTGCTCGTTTAATTGTTTCTGGAGGGTCTAAAACTGTAAAGGATGTTACTAATTTAATGAATAACAGCTATGGGACTCAATAGAGAACTCAAAAGAATTGGTTTTCGATCCAGAAGGAAGATCAAAGAGCCATTGTTAGTTTCTCATCACTGATTTAAATTATGCTAAAATTGTTAGTTTAAGCCATTGTTAGTTTAACATCACACGTTTAAATTATGCTAAACTTCATGCACACATGATTTTTAATAATTTATATGACTGGATTTTAGACAGATGAAAGTAAAACTAATATGTTTGGATCAGATGGTGTAAGCTATACTTGGAGAAAGCCTAATTTACCATTAAGTGCTCGAGATTTTACACCAACCGTTAAATATGGCGGAGGAAAACTCTTGTTTTAAGGATGTTTCTGTGCTTGTGGAGTCGGTGAATTAGTAAAAATTAATGGAATAATGAAAGCTGATGACTATATCAACATCCTTAAGGTTAGATATTTCAAGTCCCTTCGAAAATGGGGCAGAACTGTATGTAACACGATGTTCATGCAAGACAACGACCCCAAGCCAGGGGTCGTTGTCTTGCATGAACATCGTGTTACATACATCAGCATAAGGCTGATAAGATCATTAAAGTTGTTGACTGGCCAGCACAAAGCCCTGATCTTAACCCACTAGAAAATTTATGGGCAATAGTTAAACAACGGGTCTACAACTTTCCTACTCCACCTACGAATAAGGGCTTTGGGCTCGTGTACAAGAAGTTTGGTACTCAGTTACACCCGAGGAATGCTGTAAATTGGTTGCTAGTGTTCCTGAACGAATTCAGACTGTAATTAAATCCAAGGTAGGGTACACTGGATATTAATTTACTACAATATGTTATTTGCTTTCATTTGCAACAAAATTGTCACCATTAGCTCTTCACATAAAAATTTTAAAAAAAATTCAAAATCCTCTAAATTTAATAAAAAGCAATATTTTCAGTTAGTTTAGTCTTAAATTTAATTAATAAAACTAAAATTTTAATTTTCTTCACAGCTTTTCTATTAAAAAAAATATAAAATATTTTTTTGTTCAAACATGGTGATAATTTTGGCACATACTGTATATATATATATATATATATATATATATATATATATATATATATATATATATATATATATATATATATATATATATATATATATATATATATATATATATATACATATATATATATATATATATATATATATATATATATATATATATATATATATATATATATATATATATATATATATATATATATATATATATATATATATATATATATATAAATAAATACATACATACATTTTAATACTATTATTTAACTCAATTTAGAATTTGTTCAAACAGAATAAAAAGGTTTACAAGTATAAATATTATTTTTATTTGGAATTTCAGTTTGACAACAAATGTATTAATATTTTGATAGTACCTAACCTTAGTAACCTATTACAGAAAACTAGCATGGTAGTCTGGTAGTGTATTGTTTGTTATTAAGTGCAGATAATAATAATTTCTAATTTGAAAATATTTATTTAATTTCTTTAGTAATAATTATTATTATATATTGCTGCAGCTGCATAAACCAACAACTGAATGATAAGTTTGTATAATATGGTATTGAGTTTTGATTTTCTCATAATTTTTCAGTTATCATTGAAATGGCAGCATCATCTCGTGTTGCTATCTCTACACGACTTCAAACCGAAATCTTTTTAATTGGACAACCAGAGCCAAATCTTCCAGATAAAGTTCTTCCCTTAACATCTGATGTTTTAAAAACATTTTTTTATCATCTTAATTCAACCAAAAAGTCAGTACCTGAAAGTCTTAAAACAACTGTTGATGAACTGATTATTATTTGGAATAAAGCCCATATTCCGACAGCATTTCATCCGAATGTAGTCTTAAAGTTGAAAACTTTAGTCCAGGAATTTAAATTAATAAAAAAAAAAAAATCCAGATTGTCATATTCTCAGAAATCAAGAGAGAAATCATTTACAGACACCATTGGCCTACTTTTTGACATTGCCCACAAGGATGCTGAAACCATGATCAGAATTGAAGAAGATAAAGAATTTTTATTGGATCAGAGATGTCAGAGAAAAATGGTGATGTTTGGAGAGGACAAAGAACTTTCAAAATTAGAAGCAAGAAATGAAGCAAGGAAACAAGCAGAGAGAGAACGAAAGCTAAAAGAAGAGCAAAGACAATCTGGTGCGAGTGCAATAGTTCCTGTTATTGAACCTTTACATGACGAAAGTTATAGTGATGACAACGATAACGATGCTGTTGATAATGACAAAATGGTTGATAGAGATTTTGAGATAGAAATCCCTGTTTAGTACAGACAACAAGTCAGTAAAGCAAGTTCTTCAGGGTCAGCTGAATCAAGTTTAGCAAGTACTCCAAAACGACAATGTATCTTAGATACAATTCTTGACTCGCCTGATGTTTCATCAACATTAGACAGAATTAATCTATCTGACACAAAATTTACTATACTAGCAGCAGCAATTGCAAGGGCTAGTGGACAGAACCTCGATGATGGATCATTGTCACGTTCTACAGTCCGTAGAAAACAAACCTATCATCGATCAAACATTGAAGCCACTGTTCGAACTGAATTCTGCGATTTGAACAAACCACCATTAATCGTCCACTGGGATGGCAAACTGATGATAGATCGTACAAATTCTGCAGACCCTAAAGCAAATGTTGACCGGCTATCTGTAGGTGTGACAGGTCACAATGTTGACAAAATACTTGGAATAGCAAAACTATTAGCTGGAACTGGAGAAGCCCAAGCAAAAGCAGTTATTCATCTGCTTAATTTCTGGGACATAATTGGTGATGTTATTGGAATGAGTTTTGATACTACAGCCTCTAACACTGGCTCCGAAAATGGTGCATGTGTAGTTCTAGAGAAACATATAGGTAGAAATTTGTTATATTTTGCTTGCAGACACCATGTTCATGAGATCATAGTAGCAGGAGTGTTTGGATCACTATTTGGACCATCATCTGGTCCCAACATACCTCTTTTCCAGAGATTTCAGCAATATTGGCCCAAAGTTAATCAAGGAAATTTTAAACCTCTGGATGACATTCGAATGAAAATACCCCTGGTGCAAGAACTACAAAATGAAGTGATGGCATTCCTCAAAGAAAACCTGCATGTTAAAATGCCAAGGGATGACTACAAAGAAATCATGGATCTCTGTCTGTTAATACTTGGAAAACTGCCTGATCAAGAAGAGAAAAATTATCATTTCAAGATCCCTGGTGCTTATCACATGGCTCGCTGGATGGCCAAGGCTATTTATTGTTTTAAGATTTATTTATTTCGTGAAGAGTTCAAGTTGACCACAAAAGAGGAAAAAAATCTCTGTGAATTTTGCTTATTTGCTAGTCTGGTTTATGTAAAATCTTGGATATCATGCCCAAATGCCAGCGATGCTCCAGTTAATGACTTGCTTCTGTTTCAGCAACTTAAGCAGTTTGCAGTTGTGAATAAAACGATTTCCGAAGCAGCAGTCAAGAAATTTCAAAACCATTTGTGGTACCTTTCACCAGAATTGGTCCCACTAGCTTTGTTTTCAAACAAACTTAAAACGGAAGAGAAGCGAAAAATGATTTCCAACATGAAATTTCACGGTGAGAACTGGTCTGAAAGGTTGATCAAATTAAAGAACATTGAAAGTCTAGAGAAGAAATCTCTGGACATGCTGGTGACATCAGTTTCAGCAAGTGCGTTGCGGTCAATGAAGGTTGATATTGATTTTCTGTTCAACAACGATCCAGCTACCTGGAATGATTCCCCAGAATACCAAGAAGGAAAAAATTTAGTATATTCATTGAAAGTAGTAAATGATGCTGCCGAACGATCTGTGGCTTTAATGTCGATGTTTAATGAATCGATTACAAGGAATGAATCTGAAATGCAGAGGTTAATTCAGGTGGTTGAGGATCACAGAAAGCGAGTGCCAGATGCCAGAAAGTGTACTCTGAAGAGTTATAGTCCTCGCTAGCATTAACATTGCATGAACTATAACATTATGATAATTAAATGTTAATTGCTCATATGTTTTTGAGTTGACCTACTTAGTAGTTGATAACGGTTTGAGAAACTGTTACTCCTTTACAATAATTTTTTTTGTTTATAATTCGTATTTTAATCAATGACAAAGAGTCAAAAATCTTAGTGTTTTATTTTGGAAAAATTCTGATATAACAAAAACCGCAGAACTTTAGTCATATTGCAGTATTTTATTTCATTAATTTCTCTGCTAATAAACCAGTATAAAGTGGATGTGGATTGTAATTTGTATTCAGAATTTAATATTTAGAGATAATTAAAACTGATCAAATCTGAAAAATCTAATTAACCGGGCTTTAGAAATTTGTGGAACTTTGTTACTTTTTCCATGTTTTTCACATTTTTCGTAAAACTTTATGGTCATTGAGCACCCCTTAAACATTATCTGATCGGAAAGATTTTTTGCACAGTTAATTAATATGTCAAATGGCACAAAATAAACAACTATGCAATCAAATCTGAAAAAAAAATTTTTATTGGACAGCCCTAAATTTTTATTGGACAAACCCTATATATATATATATATATATATATATATATATATATATATATATATATATATAGATATATAGATATATATATATATACATATATATATATATATATATACACATATATATGTCGATACATATATATATCAGGGTGTAAACTAGCCCTGTGGTGCCCCGTCAAACGCTGTATTCCTAAATGATCATAAAATTAAAATTCCCAATTTAAAGGTGAAAAAATCCCATTCTTCATGGTTACTTCATAGTAAAATTCTAAACATTTTTGAAAACTCATTATTATTAAAAACTAATGAATAAAATAAAAAATTTATTATTTGCACAAAACTTGAAATAAAATTGTCATTATTAGTATAAACACACAATTGCATAACTTTGAAAATATTTCTTCGACAAAACTTCTTGAGAATTGGGATTTTCTAAGTGATTTTAGGGATTTTCTTGGCAACTTGCTAGTATAACTAATTTCTCATAATTTGCAAATAATTTTTTGCAATGCACTCCAACATCAGCAAATATTGTATAAAAAAGCATTAGCACTAATCTAAAAAATCTAAAGTAATAACAAATTTGTTTGGTTTACTCAAATACTATTTCTTTGAAAGTTTCACCATTTTTGGTTGAAAAGTTTAATTACTTATTAAGTCTTACTGCAAACTCAATTTCAAATAGAACATATGCTTCATCAACAAAAATATTGAAAAGCCGTTTATACCAGATACTTTCGAAATTTTGATCAATTACGGATATTACTGTAAGGGGTTGTCCATAAATTATGCAATGCAAAATATATTTAAAAAACAGGGGATGACTTAATAAGCGCAATTTCATAAGTGTGAACTGCCATTAGTGCGAATGGTATAAATGCAAACTGACATAAGTGCGAAGCAGTTACAAAAACTGGCATAAGTGCAAATTGGCATAAGTGCGGTAAAAGAATTTGCAAACATTAGCATAAGTACGAATCGGCATAAATGCAAACTGGCATAAGTGTGAAGCAGTTGCAAAAACTGGCATAAGTGCAAATCGGCATAAAACGACGATTTTCAATATATTCAATGAGCTTTTTTGATTTTATATTTAAATTAAGACCCTGCAAGGGAAAACTTTTGATCTTTTTTGTTTTGTTTATTGTGAAAGTTTGTGTTACATAATTTATGAACGATCCCTAAGTATTTTAGTTATTGTTTTTAATTTTTTTGTAGTGATCACATCAACAAAAATCTTTTTTTACTTATCTACTATTAATTCACTAAAAATGTTGGATTTAAAAAAATGCATATTGGAATGTTAAGTACTTATACTTGTTTGGAAAACAAGAAATTATTATTTTAATTGTATTTATAACCTTATTTACATATTTTAATATGTACTGTGCATAATTAATATTCTGCATAACTTATACTCTACATTTCCATAATTTATGCATACTACAACTATTTAACATTTTATTAATTATTGGCTATTTTCTGTTTTCAACAAATTTACTCCATAAAAATTTTTCTTGATTTTTGTTTAGTTATCTTTTATGAAGGATTGATGGATATTGCAACGAACAGATATTTCAAAAAGCTGGCATATAGATTCTAAACAAACAAACAAACAAAAAAAGGAAGGGGGGGGGAAGGGAAGGGGAAGTTGACCATTTTTGGGCTAAAGCTTTGAAAAGTAAGTATGAATATGAAAAATCTTAGTAAATTTGTTAAGAGCTTTATAACTATTAGAGGTTGTCCATATAGTACATACGCTTTTATTTTGACTCTCTGCCCTCTCTTTTGCATTTTGTTATAATGTGTATATGCTTTTTTGAGTGCCCTCTAACTCCCTAAAACTCATTTAACCTACCTACCCAACATTTTATGATATATTTTTTTAATGTCTCTTTAATTTTATAATAGACACCTACCCCTATCTCATATACATAATTTTCAGACCCCCTCTCCTCCAACTGAGGGTACATACTTTATGGATGATCACTTAGGAATGTTATAGTGTTACTGTCTAAATATGCTTTATTTGAAAAAAACTTTCTTTTATTCTAGTGTAATTCATTTTTCACTCAGGCATTCACTGCTCCTGTGTAAGCATTCAACAAATTTTTAAGTCAAAAAAATTTAAAAGTGGTGTAGTGTCGAGAAAACAAATGTCAAAAGTATTCTTTATTTGTAAATTTAAATATTTAAAAAACAACATAAAATTTGGTTACTTTTATTTATTTATAAACTTTTTTCATTCTTTCAAAAGTAATTTTCAACAAGTTAAAAAAGCTACACAATAAAATCTGCTTAAATTTTTTTCAAGTTTTAAGTATATTTAATTTGTTTAAAAATTAATTACTTTGATATACTTCTTTTTATTTTTAATTTAGAAATTTATTGTTTTTTTAATTGCATCACTTGAGTCCTGCATATTAGATATAAATTTTAAGACATACAATACCACAATAATATAACAATACCTGGGAAAATCGCCAATAACTCGTGCAAGATATTCTTTGATGACCAATCTTCCACGAACTAACCCTTCTAGTTCACGTGCCTTTTTGGAAGTCCTAATTTATACAGAAATTTTCTAGAACTTTAAATTGTTACATTTGTAAAAAAAAAAAAAATTTAAGTTTCTATAAAAACATTTAAAATTTAACAAAACATACTTTGCAAACATAAGAACTCCTGAGGTAAGTCTATCAATTCGATGGATGGCTGAAAAAAGTTGAAGTTTCAAAAGATTACTATTAAAATGATTACAAAAATTAATTATTAAAAGATAACAATAACTTTTTTTTAAATTTAATGACATTTATATAGTAAATAACTTTTAATAACTTTTCTTTAAATATAGTAAAATAAGACAAAACAAACAATTACTTCATAATATAATGTTAGTAATGTTTCAAATGTTTACTAATTTGTTACTAAATGTTAGGAAATCTTTTTTAAATTAGTTTAAAAATAACATCTGCATGAGTCCAAACAAATAATCTAAATAAAAACGACAAGTGGATTAAAATAAAAAATTAAGATAAAAAATTAAATACCTCTATTGACATACAACAAATGTTTCTAATATTAACCTTTAAATGATTCTCAAAATAGGAGAATTCGTGATAAACTCATGATAAGTCATTTAAATGAATGTCTTCATTTTTAGGGGGTAAATATTTACTGTAGTGTTTTGAGTTCTCTCTAAGGGCTCACCACTATGCTTTAAAATTTGTACAGACTACAATAAGCAGGGTGTAAACTAGCCCTGTGGAGCCCCGTCAAGCGCGGTATTCCCAATCGCTCACAAAATTAAACTTCCCAATTTAAAATTGAAAAAATCCCATTCTTTAAATAAAATTTGCCTAATTAAAGTTTAATAATAATTCTAAAAAATATTAAAAATTATTTACTCTTAAAAACTAATAGAAGAATAATATAAAATTTTATAATTTTATTTCAAGTTTAAAACTTGAAATAAAATTGCTGTTATTGGTATAACTATGCGCTAGTATAACTGCAAAAATTTCTCTTGAAAAAAAACTTTTTGAGAGTTGGGGTTATAAAAAGGGTTATAAAATAATTTTTTGCAATGCAACAACAGCAAATATTATAAAAATCACTGCTTGCTTTAATTTAAAACATAAAAGCAAATTTTAATTTGTTTCAATGAACCATAGTCATAACAACATTTTATGATTATGTATGAAAAAATAATTATTAGTATTCTTTGTTGTCACGATAGCGTACAACCGCTTCTAATTTTTTGTAATTCTTTCGTAATTAAACAACATTTGTTGTTGTTTTTGCTGAGACTTTTTAATTGTAACTTTATTTTGTAATGCGATTTAATGCAGTTAATATCAATTATAAAATTGAACTCGCAATCAATGTAAAATATGCGTTTACTATTTTCAAAATCTTTTTTACTTTTCTATTTTTTAAACATTTCTTTTTATGACACAATTTATTACATGATGATGTAAGGATTCGTCCATAAAGGATTTCAAACAGAATTTAAATAATAATTAGAAGTAGAAGATTGCTATATTACTTTAAAAATTGCTCTTTAATGCCCATCAGTGAAAAAAATATTCAAAAGAATACTCTTAACATGAAAGCGGCAACAATATATTAAGAAGTAAAATATATTATTCTTAATAATAATTAATTAAAACACATAACATAATTTTATAATATAAAAATATATAATTCTGAATACATCTTTGGAAATCGGAGCTTAATTTGCCTTGTTGTGAAACCACATTTAATTTTGTGTTGATTTTATATTCATCTTCCATAAATGTTTAAGGTGGTATTTTGTTTTATTTTTGGCGCTGCTCAATTAATGTATGCAGCGCTTAAGTGGAGTAAAAGAAGAAAGGATATAAGAAATGGATCCCACACATTGCCGGTACACATTTTAATCTTAGGGGATGGAGGGGGGGTATGTATATTTATCAAAATTTTTAAAAAAATTCCCAATTTCGTCAAAACGCTGTATCAAATTTATTCCTAGTTAACACCCTGGTAAGGTTTATTTTTTATGTGTCTTATTAATGTTTTACATTTAACTAATTCAAAATCTGTTTAAATCAGTTGATTAAGATTTTAAATCTAAAACTTCAAGTAATACTATTATTACTTACTATGCAAATTATATAATCCATAATCTTTTCCAAGAATAAATACAATAGTGTTATGGCGAAATCTTCCACATGGGTGAACCTGAAGTTTGATAATAAATTCGGCAATAAATTTAATCAATCAAAACAAAAAAACAATTTAATTGAAAAAATTTATATTGTTTTAAAACAGTTTAATATTAAAATGATTTAATAGCCTTTAAAATTGTAAATTGTAAAATAGAATAAATTAATATTATAAATAAGTTACTTTTAACAAATTTATGAAGATATAGCTTATACTTATTTGTATAAATATGTATATTAACAGCTTTATTATGCCAACATGGCCAAATAAATTTTTGTGCTTTAATTTGCAATTGCAAAATAAAGCATAAAAAGTTGCTAAGTGTGTATAATATGAAGTGTGGTATATGTTGCAGTGTGCACTTCTACCACATTACAACTGAAATGTCACAGTATGTACATATACCACATTTATTCCATATTTTTTTTTTTTAATAAAAAATATGGAAGAATAATATTTAAAAAAATTAAAATACCATATATTCCATAATATTTAAATTTTAAATTTATATATTTTTTTATAATTAAACTTTTTGATAGTTTAAATAGCAAATAATCGTTGAATAAAAAAAAAAATTTTGTTTACAGCCAAAACAAAAAATTATAGTAAATGCATTTTACAATTGTTATTTTTTTATGTCTTTTTTACATTGTTAATCCAAATTGTTTATATTCTGTTTACATAATTTTATTTATAGCATTAGCAGTTAATTTTTCGTACTTTCAAAAAATATAGGTAACAATCCAATCTGATAATACGCACATTAAAAGTTGATTTTTTTCTTTTTTAATCTTAATTGTCCATTTTTCTAAACTTTAAATTCTATAGCTTTGTTAATGAACCTGGTACATAAAACTTTGTCAAATCAAATCAAAATTAAATATATATAATATCTGAATAAAGTTGTTACATTAAGTAAATCATATAGACAAAAATAACCATATAGAATATAGAAATTTCCAATATAGAAAAATATATGTGATTATGAGAAGTGTGACCTTGAAGCAGTTTTTGACAAAAAGTTTCTTGACATAGTTGTGATAAAAAGTTCTTATATAGTTTTTATATATATTTTGATATATATATGAAGTATGTGAAAATTTTAACATAAGTAAAAATTTGATTTGTTAAAATGTGTTAGATAAAAAACAAATTATAGCTTTTTGTTTTATGAGCTTTTTCTTTTTGTATTAGCTTAAACTTGTTATAAAAGAGTTGACATTTACATATTTTTTCTTCAATAGATGATAAGTATTAGCAAAGTGTTACTATGGAAACAACTAGTACAAAAACAGAAATTAAAAAAATAAAAACATATTATATGTGTAACTTGTTATTTCTTAGGAAGAATTAAAAAATTTACAGGTATTGAAGCTGGCTTGTTTATAACAACTACTTCTTCATTATTTTGTATGAACTCAATTTCTTCATGAATAACTGGAGGTTCATGTCTACAAATTGAAAAAGTATTATATTAAAAAAATATCTGAAAACCTTTTTATTATAATTTTTAAAACAATAAAAACATTGACCTATGAATCTGAGTTTTTAAAACATCTTTAGCTGTTAGCTTATGATCATGCGAAACAATATTGTTGTTTACTAAAAAATAAGCAAAAATAAAATTTAAAAAATGGAACTTCAAAATTATTGACTAAACTAATATTTTATATATATATTGAAGGGGTAAATTAACTCAAATTTACTAGATCGCAAAAATTACAGAAAAAACAAAAAGTGCATTACTACTTTAATCGACATCAAAAATATATAAAAAGTAAAATAAAATATATAAAATATTAGTTTGACATACAAATAAATGAAATTTGAAAACAAGCATTTCTTGGTCCGAAAAAAAAACAAGCATTATTTTAAAATTGGCTTTGCACAACCTTATGGACAAATAACCAATGGTAATATTTGTCCAACTATTATCATAAAATTTCAAAACTTTTTTTCATAAAAACTTTTATCCAGGAATATAAAATTAGCGATTGTGATATGATATACTTTACTATGATATAAAATACATGTGACTATTTATATTTGTGATACTTTCAAGATTGCTAAATGGTTTTAGCTTATCACAATCAAATGGCACATCACAATCAAATGACACATCACAATCAAATGGCACATCACAATTCGTGATTGCTTAATTCACCCCTTTTGTGCGTATTTTGTACACATTATTCTTGTGTGTGTGTGTGTGTGTATATGTGTGTGTGAGTGTGTGTGAGTGTGTGTGAGTGTGTGTGAGTGTGTGTGTGTGTGTGTGTGTGTGTGTGTGTGTGTGTGTGTGTGTGTGTGTGTGTGTGTATATTCCTGTTGATAGAGAAGGAACTCATTTATAAATAAAATATAAAAGGTTTTTCACAAATTTTATTATTGAAAAATTTGATAAAAGAGATTAGTTTTTAGAAACGAGGTTTCAGTCCCATACCAAATAATTCACTTAATACTCAATTAAATGTGAAATATTTTAACTTAATTGTTTTGTAAATAAAGTATAAGTGAGGCTTTTTATCACATTTTATTATTGAAAAATTAGAAGTAAAGGTTTTTTAGAACAGGAAGATATGGAGCCCAGACAATACCATTCATATTTACATGTCAAATAACTCTTTAACTATTAAATACAAATATGTAATTACATTCAGTAAATTAAAAGTAACTTTTGTTGTCAGGTCTTTTTGACCTGATGACAAAAAAATACAAAAAAAAAAATAACATTTGCTTTCATGATAACTTCCTACCAAATACAATAAAATCAACCTCAATGCTTGGATTAAACTTAAGCTTCCATTTCAGTATAAACATTTTTGGTGGAAAACCAAACTGACTTATTAAAATGTAAATAATTTTACTTTAATGCAATTCAACCTGATAAGTCTAGAAAAGATTTAGTTTGTGATAAATATACTAGCTTATTGTTTGTTTTAACTTAAGTTTAAAAAAAAAAAAAAAATATCTACTTTTAAAAATGTTAGAAAAATAGTTATTAATATTTTTTTATTTTGTTTGAGTGTGGAGCATCTGAAAAAAACCACCAAATGCATTTTTTTTTTAGATGCATCCAAACAATTTGCAACTTTTAGTCCTAGACAAGAACTCATTATACGGTTTGTACATACTTCGAAGTTTTTTTTTCACAAGTTTTTTATGTGATTTAGTGTAGCCTAAGGTTAATAAATAAGTTCATAAGTTTTTGAATTTGACAATCAAAATGACATAAATACATATCCTTATCCTTCAAGCTATTAAATTATACTTAATTCTTTATCAGAAAAAAAAATTGTATGGTTAAATTTTTTTTCAGGAAGCTATTTTCCATACTGTTCATAAATATTGTCTCACTTGATTGCAGTATAACACTCCAGTGCTATACTTTAATTTCACTATTAGATAAAAAAATATGTTAATTTCCTAAAAGATATTGAAATATGTACAACTTCAGTAAACTTCAGTAAACAAAGTATTGTTCAATAAAACATTCTCAAACTTTAATGGCAACAAATTTTTATAAAGAAAAGCTACAAAATTAAAAATAAAATTTTCTGCATCACTATTGTATTTTAAAAAAAGCAAAAAATAGTAATGAAAAAATTTAACTAAAATTTCTTCAGATAACCATAAACCATAAACCATAAATTTAGATCAAGATCAATAAATTTAGATCATTTAGATCAATAAATAAAGATCAAGATGAAATTTTATAGCCTTTTTTTTCTTCACTAATTCAATTAATTTGTTCTTGTTTTGAACTTTTTCTTTTCAGACCATATTTTGTTTTGTAAACTTTACAACACAAAAAATACACAAAAATTCTTCTTAATATAATTGCTACAATCAATGTTCAATGTCGTTTTGCTTTCGTTTTTAAAGTAGTTTTGATTAATTACTAGGCTTTCCTGAACTTGAAAGAGCGCGTTCTCAAAATGCACGCGGTCGCCAGAGAAAGATCTATCAAGTGAGTTAAAACCTTTTACCTTTTGAAATGTTAATATTATTTATTCGTTTAGAATATTATTTTTTAGTTTAGAAATTAGGCTGATTCTTAAAAAAACTTTTTTTATAAATGACTGCTGGCACCCTCTGAATATGTTGTATATAATAAAAAAATTCTGGATTTAAAAAATTTTTGAATAAAAATTATTTTATGGGGTTGCTACCGACCTTCAAACATTAAATAGGTACCTAACATTATTAAATTTTTTTTTTTTTCAAAAGTAGGTCATGTTAGGTCTCAAACAAGGTAAAATTATATAAAAATTTCAAAAATAATATTCATTTTATAAGAAAACATTGATAAAAAAAAATTATAATAAAAAAATCTTGTTAATTTCTCTATTAATCGTTTTTAGTTTAAAAATGTAATTTTTGAAAATTTTATATAATTTCACTTCGTTTGAGACCCAACATGACATACTTTTGAAAAACTTTTTTTTTTTATAATATTAGGGACCTATTTAATGTTCGAAGATCAGTAGCAACCCTTTAAAATACATTTTACTAAAAAAATTCTTAAGTTGAGCATTTTTTTGTTATATACAGCATATTCAGGTTGTGCCAGCATTCATTTTCAAAAAAAATTGTTTTTAGAACCACCCTATTAGAAATATTACATAAAGAATCATATCAAGATGAATAAGCATTGTTACAATCATATTATAACTGAAGTAAGTATAGAAAATAGTTTAGCAATTTATATATAACATTTTTATTAGGTATAAAGTAGAAAATTCCTCCTTCTAATTTTAAACGGTTAAAATAAATCATTGTTTTATTCACACATGAATCAAGTACACCTCTGCCATTGTTTGTGTATGTGTTAATATGTGTTATATAATTGTTTTATAAATGTGTTTAAATATGTTTTTGGCTAAATATATATATATATATTGTGTTTATAGTTGGTACATATGTTTATATTATGTTGTTTCCATATTTTCAAAGTGCTGTGACTTGGTAAATGTGTAGAGCAAGATTTGGCAATCTTACCAGCCAAAGCAAGTACTTACAGCAGAAGGTTACATGGCAGTGTTTAGTGTAAAACAGTTACTGTTTTTGGTGTTTTGAAACCTTTATTATTAATTATTCTGAAAATACATAATAATGTATTTTAATAACACTTTGCATAATGTTGTTACTTATATTCTGTTATATGTGAATGTTATGTTTCTTAAGTTATGTTATATTCATTTTATATTAACTTGGTGTGTGCTATTGTTGCTGTGATGTAGTTTTTTTGTAATCTTTTGAGTTGATAGACATTTGGCTTATCTTCACGTTGGTATCGATTGTTAAAAATAATAAATAGGTAATTTCATTATTAGACCTCACTGCTTTTAATCATTCAAAAAAAAAGCCTACTACTTTGTATTATATATTCACTAAAAGCCTACTACTACTCTGGTAAATCATAACAACCTTTTTCAATGAGGTACAATCATTTCCATTTTTTGTATGTAATGTTTTTTTTATTTATTTACTTATTTGTTACATTTTTTATTTTAGATTGATCAAATGATGTATTTATGTGGTATCCAACAAAATATTGTAAAGTTTTGTGAACTTTTTAAAAACGTTTACTAATAAATTTTTTTAAGAAATAATATTGAAGTTTGCAAAAAAGGGTTTACAATGTTTGTTTGTTTTTTAATTTTTCTGTATTAACACTATGTTTATTATTAGAATTATTTGCTAATTTATTTATTAAAATAAATTTTTTTAAGTGTAAATAAAAAAATTCCGAAGGTAAATTTTTTTATTTAGACTTAAAAAAATTAACTTCTGCAAAATTTACAAGATTTATTTGAAACAAATTATGCAGATGGAAACGCTAATATAAATTTTTAAAAATCTATTTGAAATTATATTGTATGTCTTCCTTTTGCTTCATTTGCATTTAAAAAAATGGCTGAAATGGAACATAAAGAAGTTCGTCAAGCAGCTATAAAGGATCGACTTTAGTTATAAAATAGACTTTTAGTTAGATAATTAACCTAAACAAAATAAGAAGCGAGCAGTGTGATGCCTTACACAAACATGTAAACAACATTAGAAATGATCACAGACCAGGACATGTTGTAGTTTTGCCGTCAACTTATGTAGGAATTCTTAGAGCTTTATTTAATTTGTTTAAATTTTAATAAAAAATGTTTGCTCTAGGTTTTGTGAAAAACTTCCTGTGATTAGTTAACAACAGGCTTTCACAGGAAGACGCGCGATTTCACATCTTTATATGACCACGCAAAAAAAAATGTTTTAACGATTTGACCACGGCATATTTTTAAAATTTTAAAAACGCGCTACAAAAACTTACATAAACTTATCTGAAAAAAAATTTAAATATTAACGAAAGAGAAAACAAAAAAAACATATTTATTTACAGCAAAAACACAAAAAAATAAATATATATATATAACGCAACTGAAACAAAACTCATCAAACTAAAATGCTTAGTCTATTTAATTTACGCATTAAAAAACCTTTTCAATCTTTGTTTCAACATTTTTATATATTTTTTATTTATTTAATATGTTCAAAAGTTAAATATTTCTCATAAAAAATTCATAGTTATATTAATAAAATAAAAAAATATTTTATTAATACTTTTTTTTTAATTAATTAGAAGTGTTTTTTTTTACTCCATTGAAAAAAGTGTTTCGATAATATAAAAGCATTCAAGATCAAACTTATTAAATTGTAACGGTTTTCTAAAACTTTTTTTTTTTACTAAATTTTGTTTATCTTTTTAAATACATTAACTTTAATCATTCTTATATTTAAATTCGTTAAAGAGACTTTTGTAGTCGTAGAATGTCATCGTTTATAAAAACCAGGGTTGGCAAAAAAACCCAACCCAAAAAAACCCAAAAAAACCCACCTTAAAAAAACCCAATAAAACCCAAAAAAACCCAAAATATATTTGGGTTTTTTTAAAAATGACCTATTTTACAACTGATAACTCTGATTTTAACACTTATAAATGCTTTATTATCACCAAGTGCAACTTTTATACTGTAATTACTCTTGTAAGCACTGTATTTATATACATAATGGTCTTTAGGATATACCCAAAATCGATCAATCTGTTTTTGTAGCAAGTTGGTTATTTATTATTTTTTTAAAACATTTAGCAAGTTATTATAAATGTTATTGAAATATGTATTAAAACATTAAATTAGTTAAATACTTATAAAGGAAATAAAAATCATTCTATTAACTAAATTTCAAGACATTACTAGTTATTTAGTATCTTTATTCTCCTCTCGAATGTCTGTATTCTTTTATATTGGTATTTGATTTTTTATTTTTTAAAGCTTATGTTGTAAACTGCAACAAAAAAAAAAAAAAATACAAAGCCACAAGCAAAATACTATATATAAAAATTAAACTTTATTTACAGTTTAGAAATGGAAAGTTGTCAGGCAAAAAAAAATGCTACAGTTTACTAGATTTGTCCTTCAGTGCATACAACTTTAAAACTTAAAAAAAATTAAGTTATGTGCAAGCAAGCTTGCAACATGTTTGCTCATTCAATGAGAGAACATGTTGAAAACTTGTATGCATTTCACAAAGACAAGATTTGTCGGTAAAAATGACACTCATGCTCACCTGTCTTTTGAATATTTAACAGGCTTTGAATATTTTGCATCAGCTACAAGTTTACAACATGTACCACCAACAGGGGTGACTATGAACAGCGGGTTGAAAATTAACATCAGTATCAAGTTGCTAAAAGGTGAAGAAACACACACAATAGAGCTATATAATGTGTTACTTTGATTCAGTTTGCAATTTGCATTGCAAAACTGAGCCGGTAAAACATCTTCAAGGAAAAAAAAAAACTTGGTGGCGAAGACACTGTAATGGTTCTTGACAAATTTACTTTATATATATTTAGAAACAAAGTTTAGGCAAAAATCCATTTTTTGCCAGTCCAGTTGATCAGGCCGATAACTTTTCTAAGAAGCTAGACAGTACAATGTTCTGATAAAAAAAAATGTAGTGATTAGGCTAGCAGTTTTTTTCTATGATACAAAAATGTTTAAAAAGTGTTCATAGTCATCCTGATTGATAATAACTTATAAGGTTGCAACATCATGTTGCAAACTTGTTGATTACATGTTGTAAACTTGTGCAAAGTAGTTTTTGAACATGTTAGTAAAAAAAACTAGTTTGCAACATTTATATTGTCTTACCAACTTTGAATAACTCAATTGTCATAATTTTTACACTGATTTTTTTTTTGTCAAAGATGTTCTGAACATGTTTCTAATTTAGAGCAATTAATCATTTATAGTTGATGGAGTCCCTTTTTGCACTATAGGTAAAATGTGCTAGTAGATTAGTAGTAAAACATTTGGCTCGCAACCAGAAGGTTGGGGTTCAAATTACTTCTGCTGAAATTACTGTCTCAATCTATTTCTCCACACAGCGCCTTTGTTTAAAAATTTTAGTTGTTAATGTTGTTTGTTAGTAAAAATGGTAATGTTAAGGATTGAGACAAAATATTTTTAAAAAATGAGTTGCTCCCTTGACTGAAATGGTCATTGGAGCAATAGGGAGGTGAATTTATGAAATTAAAAAAAAAAATTATTGTACTCATACAATTATAAAAATTTGGTATTTTGATCGCTTTTAAAAAAATCCAAAAAACCCATAAAACCCAAAAAAAACCCAAAAAAACCCAAGGTTTTTTTAAAAAACCCTGGGTTTTTTCCAACCCTGATAAAAACAAAACAATTTTTTATTTTTTAATAAGATTTGTTTTATAAATGAACACTTAAACAATTTATATGTTTTAAATTAAAAAAATATATACAACTGTCAATTATATTTGAAAAACAAAACTTTTTTTCAGTAAATTGTTACTTTATTAAAAATCGTTTCGCTAATATAAAAACATTTGTTAAGAAGTTTTGATGTAATTAATTTCACTTTTTTAGAATATTTTTTATTTAGCGCATTTCTAAAACGTCTTTTGAATTAGCCGCGGTCAAACCGTCATAGCAAAATATAACTTGCGTGGTCATATAAAGACGTGAAATCGCACGTCTTCCTGTGAAAGCCTGATTTTAAACATTAATGGTTTTGGTTTGGTCAGGCAATCTACATATTTATATATAAATTGTGCCCAAAGCGTTTAAATAATTTAATAAACTTAATTAAACTAAAAATGTTACTGAATTAAAATGTCGGGAACATTTCAACCATAAACAATAATTCATGAAAATGAACAATACATATATTTTATACATTACTATTTAGTAATACTTTATAAATCATTATTATTTAGTAATATACTCTCTGATGTGCTGTAACATACTCTCTGGTGTTTCGTTATATACTCTCTAATGTGCTGTTTTACTAAATTTTTGTTATTTATCAAAAACTGAAATTAATTTAAAATCACCTTTTATCTTTCCAGTAGAAATAGCTTTTATCTATAAAAAAAAAGAATTTATCTAAACTGCTAGTCTAGAAACTAGACTAGCAGTTTGATAATTTTAACAGAAGAATATTATTAGCAAACAAAATTTAATATATAAAAAAATTTTGACACAAGTGTTTTTTGTTATAAAACAAAACATTGACACTATTTTTAATAGTTATTTTCAGATGATATGCAGATGGTTTTTCAAAAAATAAAGCTGTTATCAGGCGTGTTACTATTGTATTACAAGTAAACACAATTGTAAACACAAGTAAACTGCACAAAGAACAAAGATATATACATACATATATACATACATACATACATACATACATACATACATACATACATACATACATACATACATACATACATACAGATGCATGCATGCATAAATAAATAAATAAATATATATATATATATATATATATATATATATATATATATATATATATATATATATATATATATATATATATATATATATATATATATATATATATATATACTAGGGTGTCCCAAAAACAACATTTTTGAAAATAATCTGCTCTCACCCCCTAAATGTGTTCTATCTAATGCAAAAACACTAGATTTAAATTTTTTTTGAATAAAAAATATTTTAAGGGGTCCCTCAATGGGTCCCTAATATTTTTGAAAGTTTTTAATATTTTGAAAAGTTTTTCAAAAATATGTCAACCTGGTACTCAAATGAAGCGAAATTATATAAAAATTTTAAAAATAATATTCATTTCGAAACAAAATTGTTATTTTTGGTTTTATTACATAAAAAATTGCGTTTTTAAGAAAAAATGAAAAAAATTCATTTCTAATGTTTTTTTATGATAATTTTGATAAATAAGTTTAAAATATTATGAAATGATTATTATTTTCGAAATATTTATATAATTTCGCTTCATTTGAGTACCAGGTTGACATATTTTTAAAAAACTTTTTTTTTCGAAAATATTAGGGACCATTAAATATTCGAGGGTCTTGAGGGACCCCTTAAAATATTTTTTATTCAAAAAAAATTTAAACCTAGTGTTTTTGTATTAGATAGAACACATTTAGGGGGTGAGAGCAGATTATTTTCAAAAATGTTGTTTTTTGGGACACCCTAATATATATATATATATATATATATATATATATATATATATATATATATATATATATATATATATATATATATATATATATATATATATATATATATATTTATATATATATATATATATATATATATATATATATATATATATATATATATATATATATATATATATATATATATATATATATATATATATATATATATATATATACAGTGTTGATAAAATAATATAAATTAGAAATTATTTGTAATATTATATATATATATATATATATATATATATATATATATATATATATATATATATATATATATATATATATATATATATATATATATATATATATATATACAGTGTTGATAAAATAATATAAATTTATATATTTTTTAATCTTTTCAATTTTTTTTTTTTTTTCTTTAAGTTTCTATTTTATTTCAACATCACATTAAATGCACAAAAAAAGCTACTAAAAATAAAAAAAAAAAATTCCTGAAATTTTCTAACATAACTTCATAAATTAAGTAAAAAACTACCAGAGTTTTTCAAAAAATTCAAATTGCTACAGAATATTGAAATAAACCTAAGTTTACCAATAAAAGGTAAAAATAAACTTTAGTTGCTGTTTTATGGATAAAAACTTTAACAGTTGCAACTACAATTGATTTCTGCCAAATTTTATACTGTGTCATACAAATATCAATGACAATTATGATGGTGATGATGATAACTTTTTAGTTTCTGTAAATAATTCTTATAACTTTTCACAGTTTGCTTTAAAATATGCATTGCTTTTAATTACTGCAATCCATTCAAAGCATTATTTTCAGATAAAATTTAAACATATATTTTTAAAAAAACATAAACTTACATAATAATCTTCCGTCTCCATGTTAAACTCTCTTCTAAAAACATCTAACACACTTGAATTTAACCAGCGTCCTTTTACATGAGCAACAAAGTTGAACTTATATGGATAAACCCATCGCAATCCTAATACAAATATATATATATATATATATATATATATATATATATATATATATATATATATATATATATATATATATATATATATATATATATATATATATATATATATATATATATATATATAATTAAATTTGCTATAGCTTTGAAAACTAACTTTGTTTAATTTTTTTTTTAATTCTGAAATTGAATTAACATTACCTGTAGGTTTTATGAGTATATTTGTAAAGCGGCTAATCAATTATTATGATAACTTACATAATATATTTAGACAAAAGTTTAAAAATGAGAAACATCAGTAACATTAGTCATGTTATTATGTCAATCAATAGTCAGCATACATTCTAAACTCTTCTAAAACCATATACTATTCAACATTTATTACATACTATTACATAATTAATTTATTACATATTTATTACATACTATTACATATAATATTACATACTATATACTACATATTATTATATGTAGTATATAGTATGTAATATTATTATATTAATAATAATAATATTTATTACATAATACATATATTATATATGTTCCATACATATGGAACATATATAAATATTTACTATATTTATATATGGAACATATATAAATATAGTGAACATATATAAACATAACGCACATATATAAAATTTATTGTACATCATAACTTTGATATAAACGTTTTAAATGTTATATTTTGTGTAACGTTTGTAATAACATATATTATCTATTTTTAATGTGTTTTTTTATAGCTGATCTCAGAGTTAAGTAAATACAATTCTTGAGAATAAGAAATTTAAAAAGTAAATACTTAAAGATGTTTTTTTTTTTGTTTTTGTTTTTTTGCATCTTTACCAAAAACCAGTTTTTCAACCAAAAATTGATTTCTCAACCAAAAAAATTGAATGATAATAACAATGAAAAAAGTTTTTTTAACACCCACCACCACGACAAAAATAAACTCCTAATCATTAAAAAAAAATCAAATTATTTAGTGTAAAGAAGCGCCTCCTAGATGAACAAACTTCAATAACAAAAAGATTTTGGTAAAAACAAAATGAGATTTGAATATGAGATGAGAATACGGCCCCTGATTATACTATGTATAAAGGAGAAAAAAAGAAGTGTTAAAATTTTTTATGGCTGCAAAGGACTATCTTTGTATAATATACCAATGTTTTTTGACATCTAGTTATTCAACATTTTATGTACGCTCTCCGTAAAATGTTCTTACTATACTAAAAAACCATACTGCTAGGGTTCTCTTATGAACAAACTTCAATAACAAAAAAGATTTTGGTAAAAAATGAGAAAGATTTGAAATGAAAAAGAATTTGGTAAAAATTATATTGATTTAATGTGATGACATTTTTTTTATTATGTTGTATTTCTAAAAACTACCATTTTTAAAATAATATGATGTTTCTTCAAACATCTCAGAATGAAAACCAATTTTTTTGTTGGAAACTTCTTCACCCACTGTTTTGTTGATCTGAAACTAAAAAAATAAATGATGCAAACAATTTTGAATTAATCATACAATTTCAAATACTAAAATATTTACATTGGTTACCTCAGCTAACTTTTCCATTTTTTTCATTTACTATTTTGAGTTAACCTTTTAAAAGAATACAATATATTAGAGTAGTAATAAAATATGTTTTTATAAGTATAATTAAAAAGAAATTTTTTAATATTTTACATAAAATGCTTTCTACTTCATAATCTAACACACAATGATAACAAACAATCAAAAGATGTAAAAAGAGGTTTAAAAAAATTTATGGTAAAGTTTAAATAACTACTGCAATTTTTTGACTATATAAAATTAAGTTGATTAATTTCTCTAATTGCATATGTTTAAACAAAACATTTTAAATTACTCTCATCTAATTTAGGTGAGAATCTAAAGAGTGAATTAGTTCCTAATTCATCTTTTACTACTTTTAAATATTTTTATTTTTATTCACTACTTTTTTAGGTGTTAGCAAATTAATGCTAATAAAAAAAGTCTTCCTAAAAAATAATAATTGGCAATAATAAAATATTCTTGTTCTTTTTATATTATCTTCTAAGAAGAGTGGTTTGGATAATCAAGATTTACTTTTGTTTTAAAAGTTTACTTTTTAATTATTTAAATATTCTTTTTAAAGTTTGAAAAAATCAAAATAATTTCACTTATGTTTAGGTACTTTGTATAGCAGTAATACACAGTGGGCCAGAACAGTCAATTTTGAGTCAAAATTAATAACTAATTTAACATTAGTACTGTATTTACGAAATTTAGCAAGAGTACCAAAATCTGTGCTTCTTATAAAAGTGATAATTTTTATATTTAGTTGCTATGGATACCTAATTTTGCATAACAACAACCTGTTTCTGGTAGTTAAATATATATCAGGATAACATAAAAGAAAACATAACAACATAAAAGAAAACATATACAATATAAAAAAACAACATTAAAACTCAATAAAAAAGAAAAGAAAAAGGAATTTTTTTTTTCTTTTTTCTTAAACTGGACACCAATGGATCAGAAGTGCACAACAGTTGTTTAATTACATATTTGTTGTATTTTGATTGACTTATTTTACTTGCATTACATTATTATTTATTTTTTTTGCATGATCTTGGTGATAACATTTAAAATTGTTATTATTATCTTGAGTTTTCGCTGATTTAAGACAAATATACAATATCATTTTTTTCACTATAAGGTACCCATGTATTATTATATTATGCAGACATTGAGGTATGTAGTACAAGGAGTAACATTTAACAAAATACCTGTTTCAAAACTATAATCCCGAAGTGTCTGATTCAAAACCACTGGAAATACAACAAAGTATAACATTCAATCTTTCAAGTAGCACTTTATCAATTCCTGTAATTTCACTAAATATGTCTTTATTTAAAAAATCTATTCTGGCTGTATTAATGTCTTTAGCGTTCTCACTACCATCTGCTCTTGGTTGATCTACTATCAATCCAAAAACCTTTATCTAATAACCTTTTCTAAATAAAACTTTTTTGCTCCATTACTAAATTCTTGGCTCCAAAAGATCTTGGTTGCCAAAATTTAATTTTTATTTTATGAGCAATATGCAATATGCATTCAAAGCACCTTATCCAAGCATGCAAACTTGAGAGACCATACAGGAGAATATGAGTGAATTGCTTTTTTTAATAACAATTTCAATTTTGTTTCTGATGGGCTACATACACCAAAACATGATTGACCAGAGTCAGTTGTGTTGGATATGACAGTGTGCACCTTTTCATAAATCATAGTGATTTCGATATTGTCTGTAATAGATACTTTTTGCCCTTTGAAAACAACAATGGATGGATTCAAATTTTCTGTTTCATTTTTAAGTTTACTTTCTTTATCAATCAATAAAGATTGAGTTTCTTTTTTAAACTCAAAACTCATAGTTCTACAACAAATGGCTGACGGTGGCTCTGTAAGATAACATTTTTTTCATTATCTATACTTGTAAATAACTCTAAAGGAACAACATATGTCAAAAATAAAGAATTTATATTTGATAAATTACGAGAACTACTTTCTGGTTTTTTGTTTATAGATACTTTGAACCACCAAATTTGTATTATTGCGCTGCTTAATCTAACAGAAGACTTTTCATACATTGAGAACTGATTATTCCTAATATATTTGTAAATCTCAAAATATTTCATTATGCAGCTAAAACAAAGTAAACAGTATTACAGCAATGATTTAAAAACAAAAGTAACCGTAATGTTAGTTAAAAATGACAACTGTAATGTTAATTATTTCCATACAAGGGAGAGTGCGGTAGAGCTATTACAGGTAGTCAGTTTTCAAATTTAAGAATAATACTTTTATTATTCTTATTTCATCAAAATAAACAGAAATTATCAACAAAATTTTTGGCATTTTTAAATTACATTGATGTCATATATTAATACCCCATCAAAGTGAGAGGTTCTACAAAATGTTTTTAGCTTTAAAGCCTGACAGTGCTCAAAGTTGCAAGAAGTAGCAGCCAAACTAACTTTACCTCATAGTAAACATGTTAATCATTTGTTATATATACTTATAAATGTGGTTGCTTGTGTTCCAAAAAGTATTAGGTTATATATATACCTCTCTGACAATTGTAATAAAGATTTTTTACACATTATTTTAAACAACAGAAAAAAAAAGGTGATTTAATTTATATGTTATTGTTGCAAGAAAATAATAAGCTATAAATATATTTCAAAATTTACTAAAAAAAGCGTAACAAATACAAATAATTTTAAATTTGTGAAGAAATAAAGTTAAACATATTTTTATTGAATTTTTAGTTGTTTTTAATATCTGAAATAGAACACTTTTTATTTTGTAACTGTAGAAACAGTTTTTGAGTTATAAAAAAAATAATACCCATTTTAGAAAGGCCATGATATATACTATACATGCATCTAAAAAAAATTTATTTTAAGAACATCACGTTTTTGACTGTTGTCACAGCCTGGCCCACTGTAAAATAGACTCATGACTTAGACCATCTGTAAAAATCTTTAAATTGTAATCTAGTAATCATCAAATTAATACTTTGATAAAATATTAAATAGCTGCCTTCTGGTTATTTATCATTTCTGTTTTACTTTGCAAGTAAATTCAATAATTAGTGCAAGTAATTTCAATGATAGTGATTTAATTATCATTGAATTTACACAAAATGTTAACTTAATCATAATCATAATGTTTTTATTATCTGCATCTTGCAACAACTGATAGGATCATTTATATAACATAAATGTTATCATATGAAAAAAATGATATAAATATTATTCATAATGAAAAATAGAATATAGATTTGTGCATATTATTATAACTTAGAAAAATATTAGTTTGATGGCATAGTTGATAACTTAAAAAAATTATTAATTGATAAGGTCTCTTTAGTTGTTAATATCAATGGAGACAATATTTAAATGTTTAATAAAATCTCAAAATTTATCAAAAAAAGATTTCCATCAAAAATGACAAAAGGAGTTGCTGTTAACCATCTTACCATTCATATAACTTGCCTTATCATTAATTAGTGAACAGTTTGTATAATATTTTATTGTTTTTGTAACAAGTGTTTTTGGATTTTGACTACTTTCTTTTTATAGTCTCTGAAATAATGTGATACTATACTATTTCTTTAAAAATCATAAAATCTTGCTATTTCATAAAATCTTGCTATTTATTTTGAATGCAGTATTTATTACAGGTGTGCGTTGGGATTGTTGGGTCCCGACTGCTAGTAATAAAAATATTATATATAAATAATATTTTGAAATTTCATCATATGTTAATATTGAATAACTACATTCACCCATGATCATAAGTATTCAAAAATATCAATTGGAGAAATAAAGTTTTGAAATTTATTTTTGAAAACAGTAAGCATAAGTGATACACATATGTGATGTATCACTTATGCTTACTGTTTTATGCTAACTGTTTATATATATATATATATATATATATATATATATATATATATATATATATATATATATATATATATATATATATATATATATATATACATATATATATATATATATATATATATATATATATATATATATATATATATATATATATATATATATATATATATATATATATATATACATATATATATATATATATATATATATATATATATATATATATATATATATATATATATATATATATATATATATATATATATATATATATAATCAAAATAAAATAATTGATATGAAATTCATATTTGATGAAAAAAATCTATAATTTTGTACAAAATTTTGTTTTAAAAAATAGTTAATTTACTTCAATTAATAAATTGTTTCACTTTATAAAGTAAATACAAAGTTATTAATATCAGTAACCAGTACTAGTATACTAGTATTGATAATAAATAATAATAATATCAGTAATATTAGAATAATAATGAAAAAAAAAAAGCAAAAACACTTAAAATAATAAAAACAGCACTTATATAAAAACGATATCAATGCAGTAACAAGAACAATGTTATTTAAGAAAAAAGGCCTGAATAATACACCTGTAAATCTTAAATTTACAGGTATAAAGGATTAAGTCAAAATGACATGAAAAATTATTATAGAGATAAATTATACAGCAGAAACTTTTCTTATAATTTTTATCTTGGATATCTTCAACTTTATTGATGAAGAGAGCTCTGCTTCCTTTTATCAGATACAAACGTTGACAAGGGGAGGAGGGGTGAAGACAGGTTGACATCAACTATGTTACTTTTTAAAATAAATTTAATTACTTAAAAAAAAGGAAAATTAGGCAGTGTTTGCAGACTTGTTTTACACACTCGTTTAACTTTTAGTGCTTTAATATTATTAAAACTTATTTTTAAAAAGTTGGTATAAATAGCTTTATTAATAATAAAGCTATTTATACCAACTTTTAAAAAACCGTGTTGTAAAGCACAACACGGGTCTTTGTATACAAAGACCCGACACCTACAGAACTAAATAAATAATACAAGAACTAAATAAGCACACACGAGACGTTTACTCGTAACACTATTATTTTTTCAAAGTTATAGTTGGTAAGTCTGCTGTGCAAAA